ATATATATCAGGGCTCAACAGAAGAAGAAACGTGTAGGAAAGACGTCGTTTTAGACCCGAACGCGTGATTGACAGATAATTTCTTCTCTGCCGAAGCGAATATGAATCGGGCCTGATTTGATTACCGAGGCAGATTCTGTCGCGAAATAGACACACACTGCCAGGCACCAGAAATTCTTTCCTAGTTTTCCTCTGGTGAAAAAACCCTCGTGGGAGAAAAAGCACGTCCCTGAACAAGCGTGAAATGGGGCTGTCGGGAGGAAAACCGCCCACTAGATACTTCGGAGGAACGTCGCTCGGGTGTTCGAAATTTGTGGCTGTCTTTCCACTAGCTAAGCGTGATTCACCGATTCGGAACAAGCGTGAATGAACTGCTGACACAGGGAGTTCCTGGGGTAGGAATCGGGGTTTCTTGCTGCGACCACGACCCGTGTTTGCGGCGGGTACTAGCACCAGCATCCGAAGGAAATTCATCGCCGGCTCAAGTGGGTCCAGTACCTGATACTTCTCTTGACCCAGAAAAGGCTTCGTCATCGGTTTCCGAAAAGAACAAAGCGGGAAGAATGATGGGGGTTTTTTCGCGCGGCATGTCCCCTCAGGGGTGTTTCAGAAAGCCGGCGGAAGTTTCCCCATGAGCTCCATTCGAAGGCGTGAGTGAATAAGTTTTCCTTCGACAGCCGACAAAGCCACGTGGCGACGACATGCTGTGCAAAGTACCGAGAAAAGTACACACCCAGGCATTCTCATCCAGTATTTCTGTTTAGTTTCGTCTCATCAGGTGCGGACCCCACAAACAGCTTTTGAATTCTATGCGAGGCCCGTGTTTGTGGGGGCAGAAATCTTCTCACTCCTGTTCACCGCCTTTTCTTCGGAAGCCATTGAATTTTATCGCTCGCCGGTGTGTTGGGTATTGCATTTATTGTTCGCAGAAAAGCACACAGAGTTTTTTTTCCTCTTCCTAGAACAAGCATGCCGAAGCCACCGTGACATTTCTTCGGCACGAACGCACGATTGCCACGATTCAGATTTCTTCCCAGTTAAATAAATGTGATGCCAAATTATTTACTCTTCGGTCTTACAATCAAATTCCGGGTTACTCGGCTCAAACCTGCTAACAAGCAAACACGGACTTGAATTTGTTGGATTTCAGAGATAATTTTCCATTTGTAACAATGCCACTTCTGCATGTGGAAGTTTCCTGGTGTAATGTGAGGAAAACTTGGCTTCATACTACTGTGGTTTGAAGTATTGTACCTGTACTATAGAACATAATTTCAGAGAGCTTCGGTGGATATAAGAAAATTTCCTTCAAATAAATCATGCGAAATAATTGCAAGTGTTGTTTGCTCAAGATCAAGGATATCCAAGTTATTCTGTGATGTAATCTGTAATATCACATTCGTAATTAGAAAGATTATTCAACTTGTAGAATGCATTTGAAGTTCCATTTTTTCGGATTCTGCAAATGCATCAGCGAACTTTTCTGCAATATTCTAGCATGATCGAATGTCTTGATTTCTATTACTGTACTTCGACATATCATCAGCTACTGGTTTTTCATAACCTTGAACTTTTGGCAAATTTGAAAATCAGTTGTTACACTAGTGGAACATATTGCTGTTGGTTTAAAAAGAACAACATAGTCACATCACACGTCAGTTACATCTCATGGAACCTTTCAGGGATTCTAACCACTTGAAAATATCATTTTGGACATGTACCTGCAATGGAAAGGAAACTTTCATAACGCGCAAAATCAGAAACCCAGCATTTTCTCAGTACATTGACGTGGTTGCTAAAATGGAAACTTCAAAAGGCATTTCTTCGACCAATTTATGGCAGAACCTTGGAAAAAACATCAGGCTGAAAAATGTTTACGCCTTTTCCTTAGATCAGGATCGCAAAAATATTTCAAATGCAAATGCGTTCACATCTTTGATAGCGTTCCTTGTATTTGGAGTGAGGATTTCTTCGGAATACAGGCAAATTTGATACCGATACTGTAATATTGAGGTACATGTTAGATTATGTTATGATATCATCAATCAATCTCGCATATATGCTTGTGTACCCAACCAAGTGAAGCTTACTTAGAAGCTGAGTATCATTCATCAGCCGGAATAGAGGATACGAAGCTCTAATGAGAATTCACAAAGGCAGATTAGCATAGAAACGACTAGGAAATTATTCATTTCACACGTATTCACTCGAAGATAAGATCCCATCAATTGCAAGACGTGCCTTTATTTGTGCTTCAAATACGATTATTTTTTTTTCTTCCGAATGCAATAGAAAGCTTTCATTAATTTCCTTTTGACTCAGCGGACTAACAACTCTTTTGAATGCGAATATACGTCATTCAGTTCTTAACTCTCTGCACTATCATTACCTTTCTCATCCTCGGGATTACAGTATTTCAAAATTAATTGAACATATGTGACGGAGAACTTACATTAATTTTGTGAGATTAATTATTGCATAAGATCACTCTCGGTATTCCAATTTATCCTTCACTAATGACACAATTGCTGCCGCAGGATAATAAGCGTATCATTTGTGATGGAGTATTTAAAAACGGCAGGGATTTTTTCTCGGATTAAATTCGAGATTTAATTTTCACTTACAGGGCAAGGCGTTTTGGATGTCCAGAAGCAGCCGTTTTATACGCCAAGTCGAGACGTCATCGAATGTAATTCTTGTCTCATTATTTTCCCGACGTCACTTTTGACAAATGTGTTCGTATCCATCAGTCAAGTGAATAAGACAGGGCATGCCTTTGGAACGTGAATTATTCGAAAACGACTCCACCTCTATCGAGCAATGAGCCTTTTTCTTGCCGCGAGCTCAGGAATCCTCTCCAATTTATCAAGAATTTTTCAACTGTTCGACCCGGAATGCGGGTTATGGCACATGCCTCAAAATGTTACAAGTTCCACATGCTCCGAAACTGAATTACCGTGCCTTCGTTCATCCAAATATTCGATTGGAAAAAATCGTTGACCCTATTGGGATAGGTGATTAAACTGGAAAAATAGCCCCTGACATCAATTTCTGAGCGGAGTCAGTCGTAAGGATTTAACAGCTTTTATGACATGAGATAAACTCGTTCTGATGGGGCGAGAAGAAAAAGGCTAATGCAATTAAAAAAGAGCGCTTCTTTGGGGCTCGCCAGCGCTTTTTTCCACCAACAACAAACCAACTCATCCGGAGAAATCCCGCCCTTTTTCTACTAGATGCTCTCCATTTCCTTTCTTCGGAGTTCCGCGAGAGACAGACTCCGAAAAGCACGAGAGAGGAACAAAAATACCGAGGATCAACCGACAGGGAAACTCGGCGGGGACATTTTTGTAATGGGTATTTTATTTCCTCGGCCGTGTTTGCATCCCTGGGTCGGGTCCACCCGGGGAGCCGTGAGAAACGCGAACGCGGCGATGCGCAGCAGAAAAACGGTTCGTGAGCGAATGCTTGGATATCCAATTTAACCGCGAAGCGTGTTAATAAGTGCACCACAACGCTAGACTCCTCAGCGAGTAATAATCACAGCTAAACGACGTTGATCGGCCGAACTGAACTATCGGAAACCGAAACCAGCCTGGGTTTATCCTTCGACTGAACTCCGCAAACAGATAGATTATCCAGGAAGGAATTTCTTTCCTACCCGCCGATGCCAATCAGTGGAAGAAAGCAAACAACTACTGCTGTCACTTCGGCGGAGGAGGAAAACCTGATGAGTCATTTCTTTTTCTACTGATTATATCAACAGTCGGTGGCTTCTCTCACGTTTTCAGATCAATGGCACCGAATCGAGTGACGAAAAATAAATTGTAAATTGTTTCGAAAGATTTGCTTCAGCATAACATTCTATCTCGAATGAGCGTCCTGGAACAAAATCCTGCGTTTCCTGGATAGAAGGATGTCATTCTTAACGTTTCTAGGTCAACTTGTTGGATAAAAACGAGGGAAATTTGGCACAAGTCAGTCACCTGTCGGAAGATTACTCGGTTCAGATTTCTTACAAGTTAACGTTCTCCATACGGATTTTCATGTGATAAATGGAACGACAGCAATTTAAGACTCATTAGAAAACGTGTAGAATGTAATGGCACTTTGATGGGATCAAGTGGGCTAATTGGAAGATAAAATAAGTGACAACCCCGGGGATCATTTGATGAGTTTCTGGTTCACTTCGATTGTGTGTGGACTTTCGAAGCGTATTGCTGGTTTTTAGCACTTCCAAGAAATGTTAGTGTGTGCAAACCAAGTTCTAAGTTCTTACAACTTTTCCAGAAACTATAACATTCAATTTCCATTCTGGGGTTAATAATTTCCCAAATCAAATTTTTCATTCTTGCGATTTCTGTGCATAAAATTTCTTTATCTTTCCCACGAATACTTCCTCAAAAACTCATCTCTCGACAAAATAAATCTTGTCTATCAGGTGTCAGGGGGCAAGAAAAAATTTTATAACAGGGGTGCTTCATGCCAAGAAAATTGTCGAGAGAAATACAAATTTCCCTGGAAAACAGGATCCATGTAATGAATCGCAGAAAAATTCTTTCAAAATTATTTCCCAGAAGAAATGTCGGGATTTTTTTTTACAAGCAAATAGCTTCTTCTTCGTGCAACTTTCTACTACGTACCGAGAGATTACTCCCCTCTAGTACTTCATTCCTCTAATGCTTACTGCATTTTTCTTCATGGTAGCCATGAAAAGAAAAAAGGATGCTGAAATTTGAAATGATTACCACTCAAGAGTCAAGAGTCAAGACCAACTCATACAGGGGTATGAAAGACAGCTCTTTCCGGACCTCATTTTTTAATGTTGACCATTCCCATTTTTCAGTGCGTCACTGTATTTCCCGTGCACCGGTAAATACTGTACGAGGAAACGTGTCCCAAAACGGCAAACGCCTCATGAAATGAACCAATGGCTACACTGAATAATACAGTACTGGCTTCATGAGGCACCAATCTGGGTTTTCACTTCGGGACCAGCTTACCTTGGAACGGTGCAGCGCAGCTATGGTGCAGATGTTGCCGGGAATGCCGAGGCTCATGAACAAGATGCAGCAGCCAACAGCGAAGTTCAACAGCACCGCGGAGTAATTTTGGAAAAGCGCGACGGGTTCGTCTCGGGTTTGATTCATCGTCGACACTAACTCGTAATTCGATCAACGCTCAATGCGTAAGTCGACGCGTTCGAACAAGTGAGACGTTCGAGCCAATGTGAAGGCTGTCGGCGCGCGATCCAGGCATAGTACAGTACCTTATTTACTCAAATATAAGACCAACTCCGCATCTTGTGTCGCAAAAAATGTAAAAGCAAAAAATTGCCTGCGAATGGAAGACGAATTTTCATGTTCTGTATCTTTTTTAGGGATAAGAAGAGAATGGATTGTGGGATGCTACCAGCATTCACGCATGCTTCAGTTACCAAATCATCCTCGTCGGACACCTTCAAGTTCCGACATGAATCCGGATTATAACTCTTCGCTGATCAGAAAGGTAAGAATATCTCCGAATTACTCGTAGGCTTTATAAGTATGAAATATAAATGGCACTGGTCAGAAGCAATCCCGCATTTGACCTGCGAATCTATGACAAATGTGACGCACCAAAATTTTTAACGTAAATTTTTTTTAAAAACGTGCGATATTTTCGAGGGAGCATGATATCACGGTATGTGAACCAAAGTTTTTGCACGTCGAGTGAAATTTATAGTGAAGTACGGACAGGCAAACATGAATTTTTAATTTGACTAACTTCCATTCTGAATCCCGCCGCAGTGAAAATCTTTCTCGCGACGATTTCGTAGTCCAATTATCAAGATTATTTTCACTATGCAGGGTCAACTTGATGCATTTCGTAAATGAATCAGCGTTTAATTCGGAAGAGATGCGTTCACTTTCATCCAGCAACTTTTGAGAGCAAATTGAGTTCCGGATGCAATCAACTTCGATCCCCAAGTACTTTCCGAATTGATTCCCTTTCGCGTGAGTAGCCTTTATGCTAAGCCCGTAAAATGTACTGCGTCATTCGAAGATCGAGTGACCGCGGCATTATTCAATGAACTTTCGACGCTCGAAAAGAAAAATGTATCTTTCTTGCTACAGCAGCTTGTTCAACACACGTTTACACAGTTTCCAAAGCGTGTTTTGAAGGAGACCATATTTGGGTAATGTCAGCTTCGGATAAAAAAATATTAATTTGGCCGGATTGCGAGCATCGAACTACTGTACAGAAATCGAACCATCTCTAATATCTGATCCAGTTGAAACTACTGTAGTTTGTCGAGGTGATCACTACTAATCGGTAAATGTCGGATCTGGAATTGAATCGATTATACACTTCTCGTCGGACATTCAGATGAAGAGATTCAACTTCCGAATTGATGGTTCTCCTTTCTAATGCGCTCATCGGTCTTTTCGTCCGCGCAAGTTTCGACGCTATCAAAATGCGCAATGATTAATGACGGATTACGCACTATATTATTCATATTATGGTGGGAAATGAAACTTCTTCAATTTTTAATCGTGCCTTGCTTTAATCGACCTCCAATTTACTGCCACACACCACATAAGCATTCGTCGATTGTGACTCTTCTTACACGGTATAATATTCTACCCGTATTTCGTTGAAGTAGTGAACATGCCCAAGCAGAATTGAGCGTTCATGTGGTCAAAAATTCGTCACGAAGGGAATCACAAGAGCTGTTCGCACATGCAATGTTACACAAAAGGTCACTCGCGAATTGAATATGATTCATCGCATGGAATTATTTCAAATTATTAGCACATGAGCATCGAAGAACGAAGATTGAAGTTTTCAAGAAAATGGTGCGTCGCGATAAATCGCCGTTTCACAGGATATTACAATCGTCATTCATTTTTCCGCACATGCGGACTAGACATTCTGAGAAAATACTGTGCGAAATATCTGATGGCTGGAGAAATATTTCTGGGCCACCTGATGGGCAATTTAGCGTCCAAATCAAACAATCACTTCACGGGGGAAATTTTCCCATGGACCGGCGGAAAACTCGCACTTGTGAAGAATTATGCGCCCAAAATCCATGACATGTTTACCGCTGCTAGCAGTGGAAACGAATCGACACTCAGATAGCGTTGGATAAAATCGAGAGGATTCATCTGCGATAAGGACACCATTTTCAGCTGGTATTCATAGTGTGGAGCCAGGATGTGAAACAAAGACATGAGTTGGAGTGCATGCAAGTGATTCTGAATCTGTCTCCAAGGATTGGCTGGAAGATAAGACGTTTCCAGTATTTAGAAGACCAGAGGAGTGATTCTGGCATAACTCTTCGTTCGCACATAATTGAATTTTGGAAGGGAATTTAGCACCCTTAATGCTATTGAAGTTCTTCTCATTAAGTGACTGACTTCCATCGAAGAATGCAGTTTCTTTCCATCACCACTGGTACCTGTGACTTTTTAAAGGTATTTATGGGAGCCATCTCTTAAATTCCTCTCAGATGTTCCTCCACTTGTCTGTGCATTGTAAACAACAATTTTCCAGGCGATTTGAAGGTTAATTTGAACATTCAACACTCGATTCCATACATTTCTGTGGAAAATCAAATATTTGTGTGTTTGGCAAGAATCCAATCGCTGATTCCAGAATTCGTTTTTCTGCTATTCACATGTTTCTTTCGTTTTGACTGCGTAAAAATTACTTTGACACATTAGTATACATGCTTGAATTGAACTTATATGGGATGATAATCTTGTATGCATAGCCTCTGGGTAAATTTATATCAGAAAAGAAGAAATTTACTAGCACGGCAAGGAAAGTTATTCCTTTTTTAAGCAAAGGAAGAAAGAAACAGGATATGCACACAGCTGCAGGCATACCGTATGTGCTATGCTGTATGCCAAACAAAACTAAAACTAGTTTTGTTTGGCATACAGTATAAAATCCGTCATATGGGTTCCATCTGCACAATCTGAAGTTTAAAGTAGAGCATTCAACTTTTGTGCATTCCTTTGCTGTATATCAGGAAATTTTGTGGGTTTAAAGAGGACCTCGCTGTTGAATGATCAACTTTTGTATTTTGGATGCGGGTGGTATTAAAAACCCCAAATTCTTGGGTACCAGCTATGAGAACAAGTATGGAACAAACAATGTTACCTCATCAACTGCAATAGTTATTTTAAAGTAATTACAGTACATCAATATTCTGCAATAAATGGGAACACTGGGGAAGTATTATTTGAAAGTGAGCCAACAGCTGAAAACGAAGAAAATGTTCAGATACGTTGAAGTGAGTGAAAGCATCCTTAATGTAAATCGAAGCGATAGAAAATTCCAATGAAATACTACGCATGCAAAGACTGCCATGCCTTCATAAGGCGAAAAATGTAAAAAAAAATTGAAACGCCTCTTCGATGCAATATCATTATTAAAAATACTTTGGTAAACGTTAAAAGCTTTATCAATCATGTTCGTCGCTCAGGAAACTGCGTAGAACGTAGGCTGGTTACTGAATGGGTTTTCTGCACTAATCTTCAATTCATTTCTCCTGTTTTTTTTCCCAGCAATGATTCATTTGCCCCGGTTATTATTCCGCCACTACAAAACGGTAATTGGAACACAGCGAGACCCTGCTGGGATAACACGTCGGGACCGGAGGATCAAAGTTCGGACCAGCTGGCACACACGACCTTCGCTGACAGTCTGCCGGGCTGGAACTGTCTCCTCGACGACGATTTAGCCCGTCGACGCCGAGCATTGCTGTCGATGCAACCGCGGCGGGAAACAGCGAGCCGGGTTCGTGCCGCGTATCTCGCCATCAGATCTCAGCTGCGATTTGTCTTCACCCAGGCTTTGTGTGTCCGATCAACTGGAGCTTATTTAACTGCAATTACATCAGGTTTCTTTTAGCGTCAAAGGGAACCGGTTTTGCGTGCTGCCGCCCACAATTATCAATCGGTCCCGAAAAATTATATCCGGGCAGCTCAGCGGTGATCGTCACTTGTTCTGATGCCTAATCCATTATACTTTACCATGTAATATTACTGTAGTTCCATTTTTCCAGCTTTCAAATTCCTGCATTTCAGGGATTTCCAGGGATGATCACCAGCGGATCTGAAGAATTATGTTTTGGCAAATGAATGAAAAATAATCTGGAAAGTTGCCTCCGATAGTAAGGAGAAAATAGAAAAAATAGCGCAGCAGACAATTTTGGCATAGAGCACTCGAACTAACACAGGAGGATCAATCTTCGACAGGCTCAATGAATATTTTCTTGAAAAGTCTTCAACGGGATTCAAATTTATCTAGACACTGGAAACTTTTTTATGGTGCACTCTTTTTTCTTATAAAAAATCAACAGTTCAAGAAACCATGAGGCGAAAAGAATGATCACGTAGAAAGCATTTAGCAGAAAGGATAGTCATATAGCAATAAAATGCGGTCTAAAAAACTCGAAAATCCTTTTTATGCCGCGATAGGGTTCCTTCAAATACTGTAACCAGAATATTCATGGAAAGAAAGTATGAGGATAGGTATAATAATCCTGCAAACTTTTAATTACACGGTTTTCCCACATCGATGATATTTGCGATTGGGACAGCTGTCCAATGAGAAAAGTAGAAATGGATGCTGTCTGCTGCCGTCAGGTGTTGAACTCAGACTAACTAGAATACTGTACTAGATTGCCCTCACAACGAATCCCAACTTCCGATCGAAGGTTTGAAAGGAAAACGTAATGAGTACTGCTGGTGCGGATTAATCCTACAAATTGTTTCAATGCGCCTTTTAATCAATAAAAAGCATTGACCTGCAACTACTGCAATGGCGTGCATGGAATAAAACGTAAGAAAGGGGTCCGTAATCAAAGTGACAACCATTCAAAGTGATTCTCGGGAAACCCCGAAAAATATTCAAGGATTACTGGATAAGCCCCAACCGTAAATTAAGCCTCCTTCTTGAGAAAATGAACCCTTGAATAAGTCATGTGCTTGCCATCCTGGCGCAAAACAGTG